TTTTTATATTGAATGGTTTCGGACTCCATTTTTTGAAACGTAAAATAGATTCTACATTTACTTTTCAATCTTTTAAACATTAAAGTGGAATGGAGACTTTACCCATTTACATGTATATTAAAAAACAATTTATACCCATGACCCTTATCCGGTAAATATGCGTAACTGCATGTCAACTTTAAAAAATATCAATTAAGTCATGCAATGAAATAGATGAATCAAACGTGTTAAAAATGACATAACTGATAACCTAATTTTAGAAAAATAAAACTTTTCCGTGAATTTTGGAAATTGAGAAATATAATGTCTCAAATATAATAAAGGGGGAGATTAAATTGTCCTCACCTTTTACGCCCTCTTTCTTTTATAAGGCATTTGTAGATTGAATTAATAGCTATAATTTTAGATTCAGTCATTTTTTTTTATTTAATAGAAGTTTATGCCTTTGTCTTCCAATAGATGTATGAACTTGCCTAACTTTGGTTTCATCATGCTTTTTTTTCCAAATATATACCTAGTCATTGAAAATGATTTAGCCCCCCACTTTTCACAGGCACGTCGCAGTATACATGTAGGTTAAAAATGAGGAAAGTGGTCGTGTTTGGAAAAAAAATTGGCACTGAAGTTCGAACTCCCCCCCCCTTCTCCCCCCCCTACGAAATCTCTCTTAATACAAAGAGAGGCATATAGGAAAAGTAAAACTTTCGGCTTATTACAAGTTAATGATTTTTCTAGCTCATCATACTCAAAGGTGTTTTGTAATTTTAGTGATGTCTTTATCATAACAGTCCACAATAATGAATTTGTGGTGTATAGTAAAATTAATGTCCGGTAATGTCTGGCAACTTTTAGTGATCTTGTAATTTTTTTTACATTAATTTTGTTAATTTATGAACAGCGTAACTTGGGACATCGCCCATGATGATGACTGTCAAGTCCCAGATTCTTTTATGCGAATATTCAGAGGGTTTAATGTTGAAAATGATGGCTTAATGGTTATTAACAATATTGTATCTGTTGATGATGGTGTTTCATGTGGTAGAAAATGATTAAGAGTTTATATTCTTAACAATATAGCGAATGTTACAGCAAAACTGCTTACAAGAATATCTTTTTGCAATCAAAATTCCGTGCAAATTGAATTCAACCAGAGTTGCAAAATTTCTTTAAAAAGATGAATACTGATTGTTATGAATGGGGTGCAAGCGCACTCTCATAGATGACTTATTTGGAAATAAATCCCGTTATCTTATTTTATATTTGTCCGTAACAGAGTAGGGCGGGTTCAATATTATTTTGCCTAGTTTTGATACGTACACTTTTATTAAGATGCTGCCCATGGATAAAAAGGTTAAACAATGGCAAATTCCTGCATTAAATGAAAGTTAGAGGAAGCCACCCACCCCTAACGGAATAGAACTTTTTGAGGAGGTGTAGTCACAGGGGCCAGTGATTACTTGTATATTTACTTTTTATGTATTAACTGTATAAATATATATTTATATACAAATACGAAGCAAGAAATATTCCTTTTGGTGTATTTAGTGAGGAGGTGAAATCAAACCTAGTATTACCGACCCCTGTGGACGCAGTTTATCTGGAGGATCATTGCTGCATGTTAATTTTTTGTGGAGGTTTTCTCCTCCACCCCCAACCCAAACTTATACATTCAAAAACATTGCTATTGGGCCTTGCATTATTAGAATCGCACAAAATATAACAGGCAACGTACTTCTATTAAATTGATAATGTCATACCTGGTAGTCAATTATCCATTATCGAGTCATTTCTTTGTTTACAATCAAATATTTTTTATTGTCCTATATGACGTTACGTCACGTTATACCAATTATGACGTTCCGTTCACAATTTTCTAGTAAAACAATGCCATACTGCAAATTCTCTTAAAGAAAAAGTAAAATAGATATCAAAGAAAGGAAAACAGTTCCATAAAGCTTGAAGTCTATTCTATCTATTATCAAAATTTCATTAATTTTTTAGATGAGGCATTTTTTGACCATTCGTGGGCTTAACTCTTTAATTCAAACATTCAATGTGTTGCCATTTTTGTTTCAAATTTACGTTTGGAATATCACAAAGCGAAATTCATTGAAATTCGCTAATTTATTCGGTAGAAAATGTAAACAGATAATAATGAAAAACATTAAATACAGAATACAAATAAAAATTATCCCAAAATTATTTGAATGGCTTAAATAGCAATGCTGAAATCAAATTATCCACCTCTGCCAGGATAATCTTCCGGTAGCATTACTAGCATTCATCTAGTTTCAAATAAGCAAATAAAGCATCAGGATAAGGATCAAATCAGGATAAGAGCATCAAATCAGCTAGCAAAGGTGGCATTAAAATCAGCATTGATGCTATAACAAAATAAGGTCATGGAATAAAATGTGTGGAATGCAAAACAACTTTTTAAGAATTAAAAATGTCATTAATGTTGACAGTACGAGGGTTGTCCGTAAAGTTCGTGGACAAGCTCAAAATTAAATAAAAGTTTCGTCATTGATATTTATTATTAGCATATTTCTAATCCTTTATTAAATGTGAATTGAGAAATGTAAAATCTGATTCAATTTCAAATGTCTAATTACAATTATGGCTTTATAATTAGACTTGGAATTGAGACCCGGAGCACAGCATTATGAGGTTGAAAGAATTCATCACTTCAAACCTGCAAAATTTGAACATTCAAAGTTGTTAAATGGCTGAGCAATCAAAGCTAAGAGATATGAAGACAGAATCGAAATTGTTCAAAAAGGGGCGTTTTCGGAAAAGGTGGAGCAGTGAGCAGTATTAAAATTCTGTGTAGACATCGAATTAGCAGTTACAGAGAACCAGTATATTTTATAAACAATCAGTAAAATATATTTTAAAAAGCCTTACATTAGTATATAAGTGGCATATAATAATTTCGGACGGAAAGAGCAGTTTAAAGGATAATATGCGTGAAGGAAAACCATCAATTCGAGATTGAATGCTGTGAAAATAAATTTCGTAACGTGACTTTACCTATTTCCGTAAATAAAATGATTTTTTACGCGGACAGAGGTTGGAGGATTGCAGGATATGAGACAGACATATATTATTTTATGTATGAAACCTGAACATTGTGTGCACATATTAATGACTGGTTAAAGCGACATAAGAAATGTACAAGTATTGAGTTAAACGGTGAATATATAGAGAAAAGTAACATGTACTCATATAATGCTCTTGACGTCGGTTAACGTCAAGAATTTTCATTTTAGTGCTCCGGGTATGAGTGTGTGTCTTTTTTAATCTAATAAAAATATTTTTTTTGTGCTTTGTTTTTGTTGAAAACTTGCATATTAATAAAATGAAACATGAATTTAATGAAAATAATTGTTTCATATATTTTTTCGAAGTTTGTCAGTAATTATCAATGTTGTCCACGAACTTTACGGACAGCCCTCGTATATTGATTTTCGCATATTTCATTTTTGGTAACCAACGTTTAATGATATCTCTCGATGCACTGATGCCGACTTAAAAAAAAAAATTATGGACAACACTCATAATCACAATTACTAAATTGTATTCTGCAGTGCAATCTTTGTTTAGACAAGCTTTAACTTCTTCAAACAAATTGTACTCCATTTAAGAAAAATCAAAAGGGGAACCGACTGATTAAATGTGGCGTTATGTGACGTCACAAAAGCGACGTTTTTTTAACCTGTTGACTTTTGCAACTGTGATATAGGCATACATGTAACATTGTTATGAATCAATAACGTAAACAATTTACCAAAAGAAAATTTGTTCATCATTAATAACAGTTTTATTTGATTTATGGAGTTTGTTAATATTAGAATCATCTTTCTTTGGTTGACAATTCATAGCAATTTCTCGATGATATGCTGATATACATGTATAATTGCAAAAAGATTTAAGATAAAATTTAACAAAGAAAGCGGCTTAAATCAGGGAAATATATTTAATTTTATGGTAACCATTAATTGTATTTTCTGGATTAAACTAAGGAAAAAAATTAAGAAATGTAATTGTACCTATATTTGTTGATTGATTTATAGTAGTTATGTGGATTTTATTGTATAAATTCAGGTTCTAATAGGTGTTGGTTGTTGACGGGGAAAAGCGGGGGGGGGGGGGGGGGGGGGGTGATTGGAATAAAGAAGAAAAGAATTAATCTATTTAAATTGTTTCTAATCAAAACAAAATACTCGTTTTTCGCAAAATAGTTTTATATTCAGATGTTTGTCGGTGCTTACTTATCTTTTTTTAGTGTAGAAAGGTCATTATTTATGACACAAGAGTGTAAAAATATAGGAAATCGTCATATTTCTCGTATATTGTATCATAAATGTACACTCTTTTCTTAGTTAAAATAAAAAGATGAATCATTTCTTTCAAAAAATATGAATTACAACATTTTCAAACAGAAAACTGTTTAAGATATTATCTATTATGCAGGTCTGAATTGTAAAAAAAATACAACAAGAAAAACCGGTGATACTTACATTGTGCTTCATTATAATTTTTCATGCAAGATGGATTACAATGAATTTGCCTACATTTTAAAGATACAAGTCATATAAATTAAATACCTATTGATTTTGAATGTTAATTGACATTTTTGGTTCTTTTTAGCGCATATTTTGGGTAGAACAATAATGTCTGAAAATAATCTACTTTTAGCATTTAACACTGTTCTTGCACGTGCTACTGTGTAAGCATAAGCATATAAAGGTATTGTTTTAAATACCTTAAAATTAAGAGCAAGTGGTCAGGCAAGAAATATCAAAGTTTTGAAAATTTCACACAAAGACTTTTCGGACATAGATTCCCCCTTAACAATAAGCATGTTAAAAGCATATAATAAAACAATAAGCATACTAAAAGAAAAATCTGAACAGATTAGTTTTTAAATTTAGTCTTCAAAAATCATTAAAAAGGGAATAGAATGAATCTCTGCAAATTTTACATGTTATTTTCAGAAAGCACTTTTCAGCTCTGATGAGCAGCTATGGGATGCTGTTATTCACGACATCAAGACGAGGACGTACCTCCGAATATACATAAAAGAGCAACAAAACATTCCTATAAACGAAAAGCAGCAAATAAACAAGTAAGCACAGTTTTAGCATAAATGAGCAAAAGATAGAACACGTTAGAGCAGAAGCGTGATCGACAAATACTAGTAAGCTAAATACATGTACATGAAGGAAGCAGGAGTGCAGAGAGTAAAAGGTTGATATTCAAGATAAATGATTTCCAATTTCATTTGAAATTGAAATAAACAAATTTTTTTAAATTGAAATTGTATATATACAGTGTCGAAGCCTTGAATATCGTATTCTGAGCTCTTTATTACGCAGTTTTGTTTTGGGAGACCCCCAACATAGAAGACCGTTGCTACAGGCATCTATTAAGCTGTATTTGGATAGCTGTATATTGAATTATTTTGCACAAAACTAATGCCGATGACGACTTTTTCTATCTTTAAAAAGTAAGCACAAGATGTTAATTTTTTTTCAATTCAAGTTATCTTCTTTTGTTTGTCCTGCAAGTTCTTCCTAAACTTTTAAATGTTTTTACACACAAATATTTACATTTACAAATTTACAATGCCTTTGTCCGAGATAAAATTACAAATTGTAAATGTACTTTATTTCCCCATAAATGTATTTGCGCGGTTCCAAAAAAAAAAAAAAAAAAAAAAAAAAAACACGTGCAGGGCAGAACAAACAGCACGACAGAAGCAAGGCTTGGAGCACGTGGATTGGCGGAGTCAAAGCATGTAAATATAAGGAATAACTGACAGATTTTTCAATTTCATGACGGCGATCAATCGATTGGCTTGCGTGATAATTTTATGCATAAACGCCATCGTTTATGCAAATTATCACGCAGCCCAATTGATTGATCACATCATGAAATCGAAAAATAAGACAGAACTTTATTCCTTAATTAAAGGCAAAGGTTTTCAACCGGTCAGTTTACCTTGTTTGGTGTGGTTTGGATCTTAACCGAGCCCCTTGGGAACGACACCAACTTATGTTTAGCTTCTTATATACAATGGCTTTTACCTGATTGTATTTCCTGTATGCATTTTCCTAAAAAATTGTAAAACGCAGCTGATTTTCATGTGTAGATCAATTGAAATGGATGAAATAAGACACGTTATTTGTTGCGGACAGATCTCGAATCCTTAAAAATTGTAATTTTTTTTTCTTTTAAAATTAAAATTTTTAACAATTCGAAAATTTTAATATACTGCGTGTGTGTTAATCAAATATAGCATAAAAACATCTCGTTGTACATGCGATCTGGCGAAAAAGAGAAGTTATTCAAATTACATGTCGTGCAAGCAAAACGAAAGAAGCGAGCGGTTCATAAACAATAAAATTTAATCTAAGATAAACAATGTTTTGAGGATAAATATAATAGTCTAAATAAATAATTTCTCTTCTAAAATTGGTTATTATTACTTAGTCACCATGTCTCGCGCTGTGTAAAAATTCACAATTTATCAACATTGATATTATTCCTGTGAAACAGAAATTATTCTAACACATGGGTAAAGGTGCCAAGGAAAAATATATTACAAATTTGAAGATGACCTAGAGGTACTGTGGGCAGTGAATAATATAAATGACCAACTGTCTCTAATATGAATAATGGCAGTTTCCATGTTTTGTAATGGGAAACCCAAAATATGTGTAGGATGAAAAAGTAACAGAAGGTGCATATGTAATAAAGATTCTTTGAACGTTTTATTCAGTGGTGTAAGAGGAGTTGTGGATAAGAAATGGGTATACAGTACCTAAAGCGTAACAAACAGATGGACGGATATCCCGATTAATAAGTACCCACACACATTTTACAAGCAGGGGGTATAAAAAAGGACTAATGAAGGCACCTAAGCATTATGGCCTTATGCATGTTTTCTTGCTATCCGATGTCTTTGAATGTCTTTCTCAAGATTGTTGCAACACAAAAAAATCTGAAACTGTTGTCTGTATTTAAAATAATAACATTGTTTACTCACTTAACCTTCCGATCAAAGATTTTATTTTGCACAATGTTCAACTCTGTCCTTTTAAAATCATCCCTACATGAGTAGCGGTGATAGCTCAGAAAGATGGTGTTCACTACAACTTTTCACAGCGAAAAGTGTTTAATTCGAGCCTGGCATGGGGCGTTAATTTTTTAATCAGGCAAACAGCGATTTATTTTATCAGTTTCGTTTTATGTACTGATGAATTAAAATTTATGAATTAGATAAATTTTGGGTCAGTTTGGTTCTCGAGCGAAATCCATTCTAATCTTCTTTTCTATAATGTACATATACATGTATCATCCATCTATACATTAAATATTTTAGGTCTTTATATTTTGTGAACATTATTATGTTATATTTCTCCCTAAGAAAAACGGACATAAATGTTACAATATAACAAAGCGTTTTAAACTAATTGAAAAGAAAAAAACTCTGGACATGTTTACAAAATCTGACCAGCTATGTTCAGCCAACGAAATAATGGACATTTAAATCATAAAATGTTTCGTATAAATGTTTCATGCAGATCACTCACCAAATGCGCCCAATTTTTTAAAGAGGTTTTTCAGGTAATTTTAGATTTGAATTAAGATTTTGTCAATATATTTTCTAGGATTATGGTCCTTGAACGAAAAAAAACATTGGAATTGATACATTGAAATTGAGAGTGATTTCAAGCACCGGGAAACATCTATATGATAAATTACATTCTTTTTACATGTCTTATTTACACTTTGCAAATACATCAATGCATGTGTTATCTTAACATTATTGTTACAAATGCATTTCAACTTTTATTTATTTCATTGCAGATATCAACCGACATTACTCGTGAATCTTCAAACCCAACCTGTTATGAAGATAATGAAAAGGTTGTGGATTTAGATGGACTTCGGCCTCGCGTATTTTATAGATGTCTTCCTATTGGTCTAGTTGTAGATGATCCTGGTATATTTGCTTTACAACATCCCAAATCACTTATCAATTCTGCTTCTGATCCAATCCAATTCGTCGATGTTACTGACAGAAACGAGGAAGTAATGCCAAATATCAACATAATTCCTAATGCACCTCCTCCACCAGTGTTACCTTTATAACCAGCTTAAAGTTTTATACACATGTAATGTTGCTTACTCTGAAAAGTGAAAAAAAAATATGCTGCATCTTACAGTTTTCACAATAATCAAGGCATATGCAAGCGTTCAGTAGAGGAATGAAGCAATATTTTTTACATCATTTACTGTGTAACTTTAATTTGTAGAACATATTAAACTACGCTTTAACATTTTTTGTCGTTCTTGTAATTTGTATAAAAATATAAAAGAGACGGTTACTTTAGATATAAATGTACCAATTTATTAGTACACAATTAGCATACATATATGATTATGTAAATTACAATGTAGATCATTCAATATGGCGATGCAAGATGATATTCCTGGTTTCAAAACTTAGCTGGCCGAGTGGAAAACTCAAACTCAGCCATGAACTACTCAGTCTGGCAATAATGTTTTGAACTTTCTGGAACCTCTGCAAGGATGTGACATTAAGGGTATAATGAAGGGGATTATCATAATCAAGTCAAGATGTAACAGGTTATCTCACGAGTGTACATGCAAAATCCTCTGTTATGAGCAATCTTACTCCACCGTAGATGAAAATAACAGGATCTGGTAACTTAATTTATTTGGTACTCCATTCTACGTGTTTGCTGGGGAATAAAGGAGGAATGCCACACCAAATTTTTATTTTATAGATCCGTGAGTCAACCTTTTTAAAAAATGGTTTCAGCATTGAAAGACCGACATTAGCTCTCAATTATTTTATATGAATTTTTTTGTATTTTTTCTAAGAAAATGAAAAAAAAAATTATTTCCATCAAAGTAAGATGCTTTCTCGTAAAATTTGCGCTGTAAATTAATGCATCACATTAATATTTAATGAAATATATGAAGAAAAGCCGTATAGATATTAATTTTTTTTTAAAATAAAGAAATATTTATGAAAATAAAACACATAATTTGTGAATATTTTTTTATTTGTGGTTAAAATTTCTGAAAACCAGTCACAACTGGGGAGAACATGTTCGTTAATTACATATTTATAAAAGAAATTGAAACGAAATGGGTAAATTTTAGAGAAATTATTTTTTTTTAATTTTGGCCGATCACGATCAAAATTAAACCGATCCCAACCATAATTGTATATTTATTGGAAATAAATACATTTCCCCAAGAACACTAGTCTGATTAAGTGTAATAAGGATTAAAACATTAACGAACATGACAATAAAATAGATTTCTTCATTGTAAGTACATGAAGAGTCAATAAATTAGTACTTTATTCATTTTGTGTCAATTTTCATCGGGATCAGTTTAATTTTGATCGGGTTAGGTCCAAATATTAAAAAAAATAATATCTCCAAAAATTTCTCAATTTCGTTTCAATTTCTTTTAAAAATATGATTGACAAACATGTTGTCCTCAGTTGTGACTAGTTCTATAGTGATTTTAACAATAGGTTTAAAAAATATTCACAAATAATCTGTTTTATTTTCATAAATATTTATTTATAAAAAAAATTAAAAAGTCTAACAATCCTTTCTTTACATATTTTTTTTAGATATTAATATGATTCATTCATTTACAGCTAACTTTTAACTCGAAAACATCTAAGTTGAATTTAATTAATTTTTTTCATTATCTTTGAAAAAATACAAAAAAAATCATATAAAATAATTAAGAGCTATTATCGACCTTTCAATGCTAAAACCCTTGTTTTAAAAGGATGACTCAAAGACCTATAAAATCAAAAGTTGGTGTGGCATTCCACCCTAAACTTAAGATTTTTACAAAGGAAGCATTAGTAGTGCCTGATCCTCAAGCGCAATTAAGGTACTCCGATCCTCAGCCAGGAAGGATAACTCTTTAATTTAAAATTTAATTTAAAAAGTCTCAAAATGAGGCTTGAAAATTTTATATTTCATAAAACAATTTTCATTTCATACCTTTCAATGTTCTTAAAGGTATTCTGAAGTTCTCAAAAAAGTCTTATATATAGGCGAAATTTTTACCTCATAAATGTACATGTATTTGAATGTCACAATTTTTAAGAAATTGGGTTTCGTTTTAGTCTAACCTTAGATATCATTATTCACTAACATGATACGAAGTTAGAAATGAATAATGGCGTTTTGCAATAATAGGAAAATATTCATACCCTTACACTAATATTTTGCAATTTCTTCAAAAGCCTGGATGCTTATTTTAATGGTAAGCATTAAGTATTTTCAAGTTGGGATGCCTCCACTTTTCTAAAACTTTGGTTAGAAAAGGCAGGTTTGAAACAGGTCTGTAGTTTTTAATTAACTCTTGTGTTGTCCCTGTTGTTTAATTAAGGATCGAGTTATAGTTTTTGAAATCCACAGGTACTATCACTTTTAAGAAGGATTTGTTGATAATTTCAGCAATGATTGGCACAATACCCTCCAAACATTGTTTCAAAATTTTTGTGGGTATTGGATTTTATTTTTCGAGGGCTATTCAACGATAAAGTCACGCACCCCAACAATCGACATTAGTTCAAACACTTCCGAAAGCATGCCTTCAAACTTGATGTCACATTAAATGATATCATCATATAGTAGGGGAATTGCTCAAAGAAAATATATTTTCTCTGATTTTAAATTTTGTGAATTTTTCTGCCATATTTGGATGCAAGATGCATTTCGTTGCCATGGAAAGACTAAGAAATTCATGATTTTAAAACGAAAGGTGGAGAAGGCTAGGATAAAAAAAAACTCATAATTTACCTGTATCTTTCTTCGTTTGTAATCATTGAAAATCGGTTGTGTCTTATTTTAAAGTCACCCAGACAATACTTTGGTAGAAAGAAACTGTATAATATTTTCAAGAATACAGCAATAGTTTCCAAAAATTTGTAAATTAGACGTGAAACGTAAAATTCCTTTTTTAGGACCTTTAGAAAATTTGAAATCACAAAAATTTACCAAAATCAATCACATTTAAAATAATGATTTGTCATTTCTCAATCTGCCATTCCTCACCAAAAACATTAGCTAAGATTTTTTATCCCACAGACAGCTGCTCATACGATAAAAATGGAACACCTAAAATAAATTATCTTATTATACTCTATTTGCAAAGTTATTTTGTTAAAAAAAATTTGAATGTAAATTCCCATTGGTACTAGTTGCACCCTGGTACATGTATAAGGACCTGTTTTTATTAATCTGAAATATATAGTTTAAATCTTGCATGAGAAAAAAAAAACACTCGCTACAGCTTTCATCTCAACTTTAAGCAGCCTGGGGGGGGGGGGGGGGCAAAAGATTAACCACTAGGATATGATATCTTACGCTGTCAGCTATCATTTGGCAAAGGAATAATTTATTTTTAAAATTTAACCATTTTTTGTATATGTTGTATATCTTTATATGGAGCACTTCTTCTAAAGGAGGTCAAAACAATCTGAAAAAAATGGCAACCCCCCAGTCCCTTCTGAGATTATTTTTCAATAATAATAGATAGATCCACTAATATGTCTTAAATATTTTTTTCCAAGTGAACCTTAAATATAAGACAGTACAAAAAAAATATGCTTAATGTAAGAGTAATGTAGTACAAAAAGGCACTGCTGGTAACCTAACGTTTCTGATAATCGATTGACTGATTAATTGTATGCTGTTTAACGTCCCTCTCCAGAATATTTCACTGATATGGAGACATCACCATTGCCGGTGAAGGGCTTCAAATTTAGGCCTATGCTCGGCACTTAGGGCCATTGAGCAGGGAGGGATCTTTATCGTGCCACACCTGCTGTGACACGGGGCCTCGGTTTATACGGTCTCATCCGAAGGACCGCCCCATTTATTCGCCTTTTACGACAAGCAAGGGGGTACTGAGGACCTATTCTAACCCGGATCCCCATGGGACTCAAATAATCGAACTAAAACTAACTTGATGATAAACTTAATATAAACATTTCTATCGTCAACTTGTGTCAATATTTATTCAGCAATATCTAAAACATCCACGCCTGCGTTTGGGATTAATAATTACCTATTGGTTTGATACGCCAGAGAATGCTCCACATACTAACAATCCAAAAAAGAGTCAAGCTATTGGCAAACTATTTTATAAAACAAGGAGAACAACAGTTTTGTTTAAAGTCATTCTGTTCCAAATTCTGTGACCTGGTTAGGAAAGTCGAATATTGACTGTCGTTTTTTTCACTTATTTAAGGCTAATATGCCCTGAAAATCTAATATGAAGGACTTCAAAAATGGAAGAATGAAAAGTTAGTGTTTCCAAGAGAATATTTAAGTGTGCACTGTGTATTTACTTCTCTGAATTACATATGTATTACGTCATAATTGAAAACGATGACAAGGCACTGCGACCTTGAGCTGCAACATGTTTGATGGGTAGTGAGTAATAAACATAACATCGTATTTCAATCTGCATGTTAAGTGTCAGAAACCTAGTTTAAAATAAAGGTGTTTATTTCTTTATCTTTAAAAAATGTATACATGTACATATATATTTTAAGTAACTTTTCCTCATTACATTTTATTAAAAACCAAGTGTGTTCAAAATATATAAAATACTATGCATACAAAAAAAGATACAAACGTAGCAACGTAATTCCAAATAAATCAAAAAATCAAATAATATAATCATTTAATTATAAAAATGAAAAATATATTCAAAATATAATTGTATTAAATATATCATTTTCTCGCTGTCAAATATGTTATATTAAAGTTGATACCCCCTGCAAATTTCTAGAAATGAAAGAGTAACTTTTGACCCATTTCATACGCTTTGCTGTAAATATCACAATAGCATACAGGTTTAATGCTTGGCCTATTTGTAAGTTCTTTCATCCTCAGATCTTTCTTTTTTCTGTCCCTGCTTTTCTCTTTTTCAGTGAGGTAATTTGATTATAGTGAAACCATGCTCTCCGATCAGTATTTGTGGTTCAAAAGAAAGAAATCAACATGATGAATCCATCGGAAACAGTGCAATAACTGAAGATAATAATAAGACGAAAGAACTATTTTTCTTTTAAATCATGTTTACAATTTTACATGTATGCTCTGCTCTTATTTTGTATTGTTTGATGGACTTTGAGATTGAATAATGTTCGGTATCTCCATATCCTTCTTATAATAGCCATAGGACTAATGATAAATTATAGGGAACATTGCTAGAGGGTGATGCATCAACATA